TATTGGCTGTGTCGATGGGAATTTACTCTGCTTTACTCACTTGGGAGAAAAGGTAAAAATTTCTAGTTCTATTTTACATGTCTTTCTCAAAGGCGTAGTAGGTGATGAAACTGAAGTAAAATTTTAAACATTATTCAACTCACTGTGTTGAGAACTAGTTATATTTTAATTGTTAAGACATGGTTTCTTAATTTTTGAATAATAGTATAGTAGGATTAAAAAATTTCCACCGAAATATTGTTATACTTCTTTTGCTTTCTCCCTTCCCTGATTTTTAAAATTTTACTAGTGTTTAGCCAATTTTATTATAACTTCTGTTGGGAAAGTTCAAAGAAGCTCCTGCTTTTTCTTTTAATTGCTACAAATATTTTTACATATTTATGGTTTATTATATGATATTTTGTTGTAGTCATAGAGTGTATAATGATCACGTTAGTGGGTTTGGAGTGTCTATCACCTCAAGTATTTATCATTTCTGTGTGTTGGAATAATTTCAAGTCCTCTCGTCTAGCTATTTTGTTTTCTTTCTGTTTTTTTTTTTCCTATAAAGAAGTGGAAGTGGATCATCTAGCTATTTTGAAATATGCAATACATTATTGTTAACTATAATCATCCTGCTCTGCTATTGAACATTAGAACTTATTCCTTTTATCCAACTGAATATTTGTACCTACTAGCCGACCTGTCATTAGGCCCCCTCCACGCACACACCCTGCGCAGCTTCCAGTATCTATCTATTCTTCACCTCCAGGAGATCAGCTTTTTTAGCTCCCACGTGAGTGAGGACATGCGATATTTGTCTTTCTGTGTCTGGCTTATTTCACTTAACATAGTGACCTCCAGTTCCATCCATGTTGCTACAAATGACAGAATTCATTGTTTTTTTTCATGGTTGAGTAGTGTACCATTTTCTTTATCCATTCATCCATTGATGGACAGTTAAGTTGATTACATATCTTTGCTAATGTGAATAATAATGCCATAAACATGGGAGTACAGGTACTTATCTTTTTAATAATAGCTATTCTAACTGGAGTAAGATATTTCATTGTGGTTTTGGTTTGCATTTATTGTAGCCTTGAACTCCCAAGCTCAAACAATCCTCCCACCTCAGCCTCCAGAGTAGCTAGAACTAAAGGCATGTGCCACCATGCCCAGCTAATATTTTAATATTTTGTAGAGATGGCGTTTCTCTCTGTTGCTCAGGCTGGTCTTGAACTCCTCCTGGCCTTGAGTGATCCTCCAACCTCAGCTTCACAGAGCGCTGAGATTACCGATGTTGGCCACTGCACCTGCATCGAGTGGCCCCCTCATTGAGCTTCTTTACTATTGATATTTTAAATTCTTTGTCTGAGATTTCATAAATTTATTTTTGATTGGAATCTATTGCTGGAGAATTACTGTGTTCCTCTGAAGATGTCATATCTCCTTTTCACGTTTCTTATGTACTTATGTTGATTTCTGAACATCTGGTCTAACAGTTGATTGTTTCAGTCTTTTAAACTTGCGTTCACAGGGGAAAACTTATTTTCCTGAAGATGTGTCCGTGGCGTTGGTTGGGCAGGGCGCTTCGGCTTGGATTCTGGGCACCGCAGTACTATGGTCTCGTATGATTTCTTAGGCTGTAAATACCAACAGTGGTGTCTGATTTCCTTAGTGGCTTAGGCTGCAGGTGTTAGTAGAGGCTGTTTGGAGTTTTGCTGGGTATAGGGGCACCAGGTGGGCCTGTTTTGGGGCCTTAGTAGTGGGCCAAGTGTGCCTGCCTTTGGGCCTCAGGGCAGTGTACACTAGCACCGTTATCAGTGGGTCCCAGCGAGCCAATTCTTGGGCCTCCAGGCAGCGGTGGGCCAGGCGGGTTCTTGGGCCCCCCGGGCAGCAGGGTGGCATGGTGGATGGCAGTAGCAGTAGCAGGACTAGCCTCTGGGTCCCAAGCGGTCTGTGCTGGTGGTGTTGGTAACTGCGATGGGCTGAGTCCTAGGCCCGCAGCTGGCATGTGTGGGTGGCACACCTGGCAGGTTGGGTGGGCCCAACCTCAGGCCCCCAGCAGGAGTGCTCAGGTGCCAGCGGGTGGCCTGGGCTGGGTGGTCCCTAGGACTCGTTAGCATGCTCAGGCAGTGGTGGGGGCACAGCTGGGCTAGAGGGCCTTATCCTATCCTCAAGCCCTCCGTAGGTGTGCAGGCTCTGGCTTGGCAGACAGGGCGGGACGGTCCCCAAGCCCAGCAACGCAGAGTGCTCAGGTAGGGTGGGCAGCGGCCGCGCTGCGGCTGTGCCCCTGGAGAGGGGCATTGCTCTGAGTGGCAGCTGCTTGGGGGAGGGGGGTTGTCCTCGAGGCACATGCAAATGTGCGGCGTCTTCACTGCTGGTGACAGCGGGCCTTTGCCAAGGGCTTGTACGCAGAGAATGTCTGGTGCTCCGGAGACGTAGAGAGGCTGGGGGGGTGCGGACCCGGCTTGGGCTTCCTCCCTGCAGCAGTGTCGTCTCTGTGCAGCTCCGCATTGGTCAGCTATTGGTCAGCGGGCCGAGGGTGCAGGGCCTTACCTGTGGCTAGGACACAGGAGTCTGGTGGCAGGCTGGAGCCTGGAGGCTCTTTGGGTTGTACCATCTTACACTGGGAGCATAAGCTCCACTTCTTTGTCTACACGTGCCTGTCATTTATGGGACAAATTGTGCTGTGTGCTTGATTTGAGGGATTATTTTGGGGATTTGAGAGTGCACTTAGCTCCGACAGAAGTTAGCCCTGGGATGGCTGGGCTTCATTCTCATTCATCTATGTTTACTCCTCAAAGTGTGGCAGTTCCTTCTGCTCCATGTCAGAGTGATTTTAAATTACTTTGAAATCTTTTATTATATTCACTTAATACTTTTATTTACAAAGTAGTTTGAATATATTCTTACTGTTAGATTCTTGAGATGTAAGAAGAGGCAAATGCTATTACTGTAATTTTTTGAATGAGATACAGAAAGATGAATGTGATTTTGTTCAAGTCAGGGAGAAGAGTAGAGATTACAAATCATATTTTAGGAACGTGCCATCTGTTTTGTTTTCCATTATGCTATGGTTTCTGTGCATTTGTACATTAATACCTTAGACTTATATCTTTTCTTCCTTTTGTCTTCAAAATATTGGCCAACAGGTTTATCGGTAGAAGCTTTGCAATAAGCAAATAATATATATTCACAGGGCAGACACACAACTCATAACTCTTTGTTTAAAGCTCTAATTTATTACATATAAATGCTTCCTTTCAGCCCATTTACTTCCTTTTTCCTACATTTAGAGAAAAGGGTAAGACAGTTTTTAATAGATACATTGAAAACTCAATGTAGCTTTATCTTTGGACTTAGTGTCTCTGAACATACTAGTAATAACTCTTGAATAGGGTTCAAAATAAATTTTATCTCACGTTATGCATAGCAATGAATCATGCAATAACAACACGCCAGTGTAATTTTCCCTAGATTTTGCCACTACGACAGAGGTCTAATATGAGGAAATACTTTCAGGAAAAGCCATTTTCCGTGTAGTTACATTCAGATAGCCTACACCATCTCTTAGATGTGTTAACTTCATAGTGCTTTCAGGGAGAATTGTAGATGCATGAATGATTTTTTATTTGATTACTCTTTATAGGTTTGGCAATTCTCTACCAGTGGACCAATCTTTTCATCCCCGTGTACGTCAGCGTCAGAGCACAACGTAGTTTTTGGTTCCCATGACTGCTTTATCTACTGCTGTAACGTGGAGGGTCACCTCCAATGGAAATTTGAAACTACTTCGAGGGTGTACGCAACACCGTTTGTTTTCCATAACCAAAGTCACAGCAGTGAAATGTTGCTGGCAGCAGCATCTACAGATGGGAAACTGTGGATCTTGGATTCTCAGACTGGACAACTGCAAAGTGTATGTGAACTCCCTGGGGAAGTTTTCTCTTCTCCTGTGGTTTGGGAATCAATGCTCATTATTGGGTGTAGAAATAATTATGTTTATTGTCTGGATTTATTGAGTGGCAATAAAAAAAAATAATCAGAGACAGTCATTATCTGTGAGATGTTTGAAAATATTTTAACATTGTACAACATGTGGATAATCTTATTTTAAAGATTATAATTTGATTAAGAAATTGAAACTTGTCTATGCTTTATTGGAGGACAACCATATTTTACTTCCTGTAGGAGGAAGAAAACCTTTCAGGAATTAGAGAACAAAACACATCAATATATTTGGTAGCACTTTCTTTAATTAGGTGTGATTGTTAATTTTATGTGTCAGCTTGACTAGGATAAAGGATACCCAAATAGCTGGTAAAACATTATTTCTAGGTGCGTCTGTGAGGATATTTCTGGAAGGGATTAGCATTTGAATTTGAATCGGCAGACTGAGTAAAGAAGATGCTCCCTCACTGATGTGCCGGTGTGGTTGGACATCATTCAGTGTGATGAGGGCTAAATAGAACAAAAAGATGGAGAAAGGGCAAATTCTCCCCCTTCTTGCTGAGACAGCCATGTGCTTGTATCCTTGGACTTCAGAGCTCCTGTTTTCAGGCTTTCAGACTCTGCAGCTTACACCGGTGGTTCCTCTGGTTCTCAGACCTTTGGACTTGGGCTGAATTGGACTATCACCAGCTGTCCTTGGTCTCCAGCTTATAATCTGCAGATGGCGGGACTCACTGCACCCTGGTGGAGCCCTGTGCGCGCGGCGTGTGGCCATCAGCTCGTTACGCACGCGCTAAGTGGATGCATACGCTGCTGGCCCACGGCCCGCACTCGGGCTGTAAGGAGGCTGCAGGATCATTTTGTCTTAGATTCCAATTGTTCAATTCCAATTTGGGATCAAGACAAACATTTAACTGCCCTGTTTATTGTTTTTCTCCAAAAATATCTAGTGAGAAATAAAGTAGCATATAAAACACGTTCAACTTTTACTTATTCAACAAAAGCTATATAATACGATGGTTTGTAAATGGTCATCAAAATCAAAGTCTATCAGTGCCAAAGATCTTGTATTTTTTATTGAAAGATCTTTTCCCTTCAATAATGAATATTTTACATTAAAACTTTATACAACCGAAATTTCAAAATAATATTAAAATCACACTAACATATTTTCATTAAGTCTACTTAATTTTTATTGTTGGTAAAAATATTGCAAGACACTAACTAATGTTTCTGCTTTAAAATAAGCAAACTAAACGTCACAAGAAGAGACAACACATACTATACATTTGCAGATAACTGGCTAAAATGATAATAGTAATAATGTTTGTATAAGAAACAATTGCACTTGAAAAATTAAAAAAGTAAACAAAAAACTCTAGTTTTATATATAAGTCTAGGAACAGAGGTTAATCATCTATAACCTTGCCAGCAGAAATGTATGTTGGTTGAAATTTTTAAAAAAAAGTTTGTGTACTTAACATAGAAATCATTCATTTAAAAAAAAAAAAGTCTTGAACTTTTCATATATTTTTACAGAATTTCCCCATGGTTCGTTGCTCAGAAAAAGACTGCAACATAACTAAAGCAAAATAACACTTCATTGGTATTTAGTGCAAATTTGGGGTGAATTTTAAATGAAATGTTAAACATGTACCCTTTAGAAGTTGTTAGAAGTACTGTGACTATCCTTTCTTCGGTATACTCTTCTTTTAAAGACTTTGATGGAAAATATTTAACTGAGGTTATTTCTCCCACTTTGGATGGGGGCTCAGTGGTATCTGAGCCAGTACAGAGGTGACTCATCTACCATTCTTTGTTAATAATCTTATTTCCTCACCTGGTCCTTGCCATTACTGGGATATTGTGCAAAGCTGACGGGATGAAAGAGAAAGTCAATTCAGAAGAATTGCTGTAGAACTATAATTCCAGGGCTCTTGGTGGAAAGATTCCCATTAAAAAGTGTTATATTAGTGAGGAAATCATTGGAACCAACAAATGCCTATATATTAGATTTAGAAATGAACATTAGTATGGAAACGTGCAGTGGTGTATTAATTGCTTACCATAGCAATAAAAAAAGTTACATTGATTCTTAACAGTCTGAAGGTCCAGTGTATATAATTATCAAATCCAACTTGCAGAGTACGACTATCCACTTGACCACACATGCCAGCTGCTACCGTGAGGCTGGGCCATTGTTTCTAGAAGGAGATGAGAGATGGTTTCTACATGGTAAATAACTTCACTGTCATTCTTTAAGATATATGATAGAATAACGAGACATTGCATATTGAGTGAGTGTGAAGGAAACTAATGTCAGATACAAATAAAACATGTTCTGAAGGAGAGGAAAATGGATTTAATTCTCTTTGCACTGGGCAAAGGATTTGTACCTATATTTTGGAGTAAGAATCTAAGAAAAGGGGATTACACCAACACTATGAAATATAAAGTTAGTACCAGCAATATGTAGGTTTTCCGGTATATCTATGTTTCATGAAAAGCAGATTAAGGTAAATAAAAGTGAATATATGTAGCTTTTCAACTGTCAAGTTCATTCTTTGTATGCACATGTATATAACAAGGCCACTTAAAACAGATATTTTTTAAAGGTAGCAGGGCGAATGCTCTGAATTATAAATGCTGAACATTTGACTCTAAATTATAGTACAGAAAAAACTTTCTGCAGGAAATCCTTAGTATAAAAACTCCAAATCTTGACTTCCTATTAATTTTCCCTAAAGAGCAAAGGGGATTTTCAGAGACATGTAATGTCAATAGCCTGTTGTTTCTTGTAATAAATGGCTGGGTTGGGGGGGTTGTTTTATTATTTTTTCCTGTCTCACTTTGCTTTTTGGGTGAATGAGCCTCCCCTTCAGCATCTGAAAAACTAGATTATACCAGAATCACTCTATTCCAAGGTTCTTAACTTTTGGGATATATCAGAATTCATCTGAAGAGTTTCTGCCAGAATATACATTCCTGACTTTGTCCTTAAAGGCTCTGATTCAGTAGGCCTGGGATGGAGCCTGGACATTTTAAGAATCACTGTACTAGATGGGGATTTTGGGAGACAGAAAGAGTACTTGTGGCTCTGATAAAGAATTTCCTTTCTTCACCATATTAAATACAAATGTTCCCTGGGAGCCAACTGGGCTGAATTCTGAGCATGTCCTTAAGGAGGGTATTGGTATAATGGGGCCTCACACTGGGTCCACAGCGCTGTGAAAGTGCGAATGGATTTGTCTTCTGTGTTACAGCTTCAGGGTGGGGAATGTTCACGAAAACGGACGTGGGCACAGAGCCGGAAGCCAGACTGTTCCTTGTGATTACCAGTTACTTGCTGTGTTCAGGAGAACGAGCATCCTTGTTTCTATCTATACATGATCCTTTCACTGTAACTGCAGAAAGGATAAACATCCCCAAACATATGGTGGGGACAAAAGAAATGAGAGAATCAAAAAACCACTACAAAGATTGGCAAAAGTACTGAACAGTACGTGGGTGTGTATGTACGTGGAGGGCCATGGAATGGGCGTGGCAGGCTCACGAGGAGACCTTAGTTTAGAGATTTTGCTTCCTGGGGTCCCTTGGACGGAATTTTCTCTTGAGAACGAGGAGGAGCTCAAGGCACCAGCACCGAGGGTTGTGCAAACACTCTTTACGATGAACGCCACCGGTTCAGTCTCTGAACATTATTTTAGCGCCTATAAAACATGCTTTTCCCTAGCTTGGTCTCTTTACCTCATATAAAAAATAAATAAATAAAAAGGGCAAGAGAGGAGCCAATGACCGGCAAAGGGAAAGGGTAAGAGTCTCTCTCTACTTAATTATCTGCGGACAGTCGCTCCAGGCTTTTGCTTTCCTTTTGGCCAAAGCCAGCCAGGCGGGTTCTGTTGACACGGGGGCAGCATCTGGGGTGGAGAACCTCTTGGTGACCTCCTTCACCAGCGGTGCGGGGGGAGCCGAATCTGAGATCTCCACTGGATTTCGTTTTGAAGGAAATGGAGAAAGGAGGTTAAGTCAGAACCACATTAAAAAAAAATTTCTTTTTAATTAACAGATAAAATTATATGTATTTGTCATGTACAACATGATATTTTAAAAAATATATACATTGTGAAATAGCTAAATCTAGCTAATTAACATTTGCATTACATCACAGTTATTTTTGTGGTGAGAATATTTGAAATCTACTCTGTGTTTTTCAACAATCGGATATATTAACTATAGTCACCATGTTGTACAACAGATCTCTTGAACTTAACTCCTCTTATCTAACTGAAGTTTTGTATCCTTTCTCCCCAACACCCCCCCCCCCACACACACACCCCAACCACATTTTGATTTATCAGAAATATGAGACTCAAAAAGGAAAGCGCAGTGAAACACTGAGAGGCAAGTTCCTGGGCATCTTCAGTGAGAAGGACTGGGGGAAGCAGGCTACCTGGTTACAACCGCTGCATACGGTACTACAGCGGTCAACAGGCAGTCAATTCTCATTTCAAAGAATTTCTAGAAGCCTAATTTTCTATACACAGAAGCTACGCCTGCATAATAACACAAGAACTAAAGTTAAATTTGTGATTCTGGTCATACCACCAGTGAATTCCAGGAAGAAAAAGCTCAAGCCAGCAGTCAGATCTATCAAACTGGTGAAATTAAAGCTAGGTCACCCACAAAGCACACCCTGGGCCCCTCTGCCACCGAGTCCCACGGGTCCTGCCAGCTTTCACAACTTCCATTCTAGTCTCATAATTCTTTGCGTCGTATCACTTTCTTCACTAGAGCTTTTAGGCTTCTTAAGTTCAGAGAGTTCTCATCTTTGAGTCATATTTAGTGCCTGTTGCAACAGCCTACCCTCATGCTTCTAGAACTCAGAAAATAGTGACTAAAAAGACAAATACTTTAGAAACAAGGGCTTTATAAGCTGAGACCAGTCTGGGATGCATTAAACCTTTAGGACTTCCAAGTTATCTGGCAGAGAAAGTTGTGACCTCTTTGACTTTGGAGTTTTCATTTATTTTGAAAGAAATTTTCATTTTCTCTCATTCTCTCATTTTAATGTTTAAAACCCTTAATTCCTATAAGATCAAATTAATGTCTATGGAGATCCTTGAGAAATTACACAGCATTCTAAAGTGATTTTCAAATATAAAGGCTTTTCCTCCTTCTCCAAATAATCAATGATTTAAAAATTTGTGTAGCTTAACATGAGAAACATCATTTAAAAAAAACAAGCTTAACTTTTCATAAAAAAAAAAAAAATTTTTACAGAATTTCCCCATGGTTCGTTGCTAGAAAAAGACTGCAACATACTGAAAGCAAAATAACACTTCATTGGTATTTCAGTGCAATTTGGGGTGAATTTTATGAAATGTTAAACATCTTTAGAAGTTTGTTAGAAGTATCGTGACTATCCTTTCCTTCGATAACTTTCTTTTAAAACTTACCTGAGATGGAAATATTTAACTGAGGTTATTTCTCCACTGGCTTGGATGGGGGTCCAGTGGTATCTGACCAGTACAGAGGTGATCATCCTACCATTCTTTGTTAATAATCTCTATTTCCTCACCTGGCTCCTTGCACATCTACTGTATATTGTGCAAAGCTGACAGGATGAAAGGAAAGTCAATTCAGAAGAATGCTGTGATATAATCCAGGCTCTTGTGAAAAGAATTCCCATTAAAAGTGTATATTAGTGAGGAAATCATTGGAACCAACAAATCCTCTCCATTAGATTTAGAGAATGACCTAGTATCGGAAAACGTGCAGTGGGTATTAATTGCTCACCATAGCATAAAAACAGTTACTTGATTCGTTAAACAGTACAACCTGAAGGTCCAGTGGTATATACATTATCAAACCAACTTGCCAGAGTACGACTATCCACTTGACCACACCTGCCACGCTGCTACGTGAGCTGGGAATTGTTTCTAGAAGCGAGATGAGAGATGGTTTCTACTGGTAAATAACTCTCACCTGTCATTCTTAACGATATATGATCCAGAATACACAGACATTGCATTATGAGTGAGTGTGAAGGAAACTAATGTCAGATACAAAGAACATGTTCTGAAGGAGAGGACAAATGGATTTAATTCTCTTTGCACTGGGCAAGGATTTGTACCCTATATGTTTGGAGTAAGAATCTAAGAAAGGGATTACACCAACACACTGAACATATAAAGTTAACAAGCATATGTAGTTTCTCGGTATATCTATGTTCTCATCGAAAAGCAGATTAAGGTAAATAAAAGTGAATATATGTAGCTTTTCAACTGTCAAGATTCATTCTGTCATGACATGTAATACACAAGGCCACTTAAACAGATATTTATTTAAAGTAGCAGGGCGAATGCTCTGAATTGATAAATCTGAACATTTGACTTAAATTATAGTACAGAAAAATTTCTGCCGGAAATCGCTTAGTATAAAAACTCAATCTTTGACTCCTATTAATTTTCCTAAAGAGCAAAGGGGATTTTCAGAGACATGTAATGTCAAACAGCTGTTGTTTCTTGTACATAAGCATGACTCGGTTGGGGGATTGTTTTATTATTTTTACCTGTCTCACTTGCTTTTGGGTGAATGAGCCTCCCTTCAGCATCTGAAAAACTAGATTATACCAGAATCACTCTATTCCAAGTTCTTAACTTTTGGGATATATCAGAATTCATCTGAAGAGTTTCTGCCAGAATATACCATTCCTTCGATTTGCTTCCTTAAAGGCTCTGATTCAGTAGCCTGGGATGAGCCTGGATTTTAAGAATCACTGTACTAGTGGGATTTTGGAGACAGAAAGAGTACTTGTGGCTCTGATAAAGAATTCCTTTCTTCACCATATTAATCAAATGTTCCCTGGAGCCATGGGCTGAATTCTGAGCATGTCTTAAGGAGGTATTGGTATAATGGGCCTCCACTGGTCCACAGCGCGTGAGTGCGATATGGATTGTCTTCTGTGTTACAGCTTCAGGGGGGAATTTCACGAAAACGGACGTGGGCACAGAGCGGAAGCCAGACTGTTCCTGTGATTACCAGTTACTTGCTGTGTTCAGAGAACACTCCTTGTTTCTATCTATACAGTGATCCTTTACTGTAACTGCAGAAAGGATAAAATCCCCAAACACATGGTGGGGACAAAAGAAATGAGAGAATCAAAAAACCACTACAAAGATGGCAATACTGAACAGTACGTGGGTGTGTGATGTACGTGGAGGGCCATGGAATGGGCGTGGCAGGCTCACGAGGAGACCTTAGTTTAGAGATTTTGCTTCCTGGGGTCCTTGGACGGAATTTTCTCTTGAGAAGAGAGGAGCATCAAGGCACCAGCACCGAGGGTTCGTCAAACACTCTTTACGATGAACGCCACGGTTCAGTCTCTGAACATTATTTAGCGCTATAAACATGCTTCTTTTCCTAGCTTGGCTCTTTACCTCATATAAAAAATAATAAAAAGGGCAAGAGAGGAGCCAATGACGCAAAGGGAAAGGGTAAGAGTCTCTCTTACTTAATTATCTGTGGACAGTCGCTCCAGCGGCTTTTGCTTTCTTTTGGCCAAGCAGCCAGGCGGTTCTGTTTGACACGGGGGCAGCACTGGGGTGGAGAACCTCTTGGTGACCTCCTTCACCAGCGGTGGGGGGAGCCGAATCTGAGATCTCCACTGGATTTTCGTTTTGAAGGAAATGGAGAAAGGAGGTTAATCAGACCACATTAAAAAAAATTTTTTATTAACAATAAAATATATGTATTTGTCATGTACAACATGAATTTTAAAAATATATCACATTGTGAAATAGCTAAATCTAGCTAATTAACATTTGCATTACATCCACAGTTATTTTTGTGAGAAATATTTGAATCTACTCTGTGTTTTTCAACAATCGGAATATTACTATAGTCACCATGTTGTACAACAGATCTCTTGAACTTACTCTCTTATCTAACTGAAGTTTTGTATCCTTTCCACCAACCCCCCCACACACCACCACACCACATTTTGAATTTATCAGAATATGAAACTCAAAAGGAAAGCGCAGTGAAACACTGAGAGGCAAGTTCCTGGCATCTTCAGTGAGAAGGACTAGGGGAAGCAGGCTACCTGGTTACAACCGCTGCATACGGTACTACAGCAGTCAAGCGCAGTCAATTCTCATTTCAAAAGAATTCTAGAAGCCTAATTTTGTACACGAGAATACGCCTGCATAACACACAAAACTGAAGTTAAATTTGTGATTCTGGTCATACCACCCAGTGAAATTTCCAGGAAAAAAAGCTCAAGCCAGCAGTCAGATCTATCAACACTGGTGAAATTAAAGCTAGGTCACCCACAAGCACACCCCTGGGCCCTCTTGCACCGAGTCCTCAACGGTCTGCCAGCTTTCACAACTTCCATTCTAAGTCTCATAATTCCTTTGCCGTCGTATCACTTTCTTCTACTAGAGCTTAGCTTCTTAAGTTCAGAGAGTTCTCATCTTTGAGTCATATTTAGTGCCTGTTGCAACAGCTACCCTCATGCTTCTAGAACTCAGAAATAGTGACTAAAAAGACAAATACTTTAGAAACAAGGCTTTATAAGCTGGACAGTCTGGGATGCATTAAACTTTTATTTCCAAGTTATCGTGCAGAGAAAGTTGTGACCTCTCTGACTTTGGAGTTTCATTTATTTGAAAGAATTTTCATTCTCTCCATTTTAATGTTTTAAAACCCTTAATTCCTATAAGATCAAATTAATGTCTATGGAGATCCTTGAGAATTACACACAGCATTCTAAAGTGATTTCAATATAAAGGCTTTCTCCTCTCTTCCAAATAATCATATATCTTTTTTTTTTTTTTCAGTCAGAGTCTCACTGTGTTGCCCAGGCTAGAGTGCTGTGTGTCAGCCTAGCTCACAGCAACCTCCAACTCCTGGGCTCAGCGATCCTCCTGCCTCAGCCTCCCTGAGTAGCTGGACTACAGACGCGCCACCCATGCCCGGCTATTGTTCTATATACTTTTAATTGGCCAATTCATTTCTTTGTTTTTAGTAGAGAAGGGGTCTCGCTCTTGCTCAGGCTGGTTTCGAACTCCTGACTTGAGTGATCCACCCACCTTGGCCTCCCAGAGTGCTAGGATTACAGGAGTTCCATATATCTTTAATAGTGATGAGACTTTTTATCTCTGGACCTAAGGTAGCAGGTAACCAAGGCACAGAGAAGTGTACAGCCTCATGGGGGAAAACAGATACCCTAATAACCCCTGGGAGGGAGCCTGATCAGATCTGTCCATCCTCCCAGTGATTTGTAAAAAGGAAATAGTTGGAACCCTGGATTATTTTACCTTTTAACAGAACAAAGAATTTTTTAAAAAATGGATACATCTCTTGTGTATTAGGAGCATATAGCAATTGCTGTTGGCGGGGCGCGGTGGCTCACGCCTGTAATCCTAGCACTCTGGGAGGCCGAGGCGGGCGGATTGCTTGAGCTCAGGAGTTCGAGACCAGCCTGAGAAAGAGTGAGACTCCGTCTCTACTATAAATAGAAACAAATTAGCCAAACTGCTAAAATTAAAAAAAAATTAGCCGGGCATAGTGGCACATGCCTGTAGTCCCAGCTACTGGGGAGGCTGAGGCAGGAGGATCGCTTGAGCCCAGGAGTTTGAGGTTGCTGTGAGCTAGGCTGACACCAGGGCGCTCTAGCCCGGGAAACACAGTGAGACTCTGTCTCAAAAAAAAAAAAAAATTGCTGTTGTTAATTAGCATCAAAGGACACAGTGCTGAGAAACCGCACTCTGTCAAGTCACAGGCTATCAGAAACCTGCTGTTTGAAATCGCATCAGCGAGAATGGACCATCTCACCTCTGTTCTGAGCCACGTGGGTCACCAGGACACAGAGATGAGGATTCCATTTCCAATTTATGTTGGAAGAGCTCCAGGTAGAGGTTTTCAGATATAACATTTCATACATTTATTTTTGTTTTCATTGACAATGAGATAGTTTACATACTTTTAGGTATCATGTGATTTCTGCCAAATTCTTTTCTTCTTTTTCAAAGATAATCATGATTAACTTACAAAATGGGTATACATCTTCAAAGTATTTCCCTTTAACGGGAAACTGCTTTATAGGATCTAAATATTAAAAAGTAAAAAAATCCATTTTTTTGTCATTTTAAGACAAAACAGAATCTAGCGTAAGTCAAGGAAACCCATTCATACTTCAGGTCCTTCTCCTCCAGGAACCAGCATTGTTATATTATTTCCATTTAGCAAAATCTGATCTAATTTAGTAATTCTCCTTCCTTCTGGGGTGATTTCAAATTCAGTGACATCTTCTAGCACCATATTGACAAAGTCATCAAATCCTAGAAGAGTACCAATGATTTCCTTATCGCTTTTCATATAACAATATGAATTCTTGATCCTATACATTTGTCCACAAGCTCTAGCGCCAGCAACTGCCACGGGTTGGTAGTAGCGTTAGCTGCCTTGGCTACGACGGAAGTGGCCTACCTCACACATTTATCTTAACTTCATAATTTCAAAGGAAACAGGACCCTAACTTTTGGGCTCAGGCTACACATTAATCCCTTTATGTACACCCTTGCTTTGCTTTGAGCTTATAAAATGCTGCTCCATTTAAATTTTATCTAAACTTCACCCTTTCCCCCAAATCCTATTAAAATCTTGTCTCTTCCTTTGTTTAGAAGGTTCTTCTCACATGTGCTCTCCCTTGCTGCAGTAAGTTAATGAACATAACTTTGTCAGAACACAGGCAGTGGGGCGCTGGAGATGGTTCAGTGTTCACAGATTTAGCTAGCCAGCTGACATCACATTGGTAGCTTCAAATTGGCCATGGTGGGAGTGTTTACACCATATGGAAAATGCTACCAATCAGAGTTCTCTTTACTTCCTCAAGGGCTAGTTTTTAAACATTTACCATCACACCACTGGACAGTTGGTAGGTTATGACTAAGGTGATGAGACGGCCTGTGCTTTGCAGTGCCCGAGGTGCTAGACTAGTTAGGACGCAGTAGGAAACGAAGCACGCTTAAGAGGAGAAACTTGTAACTGCAGTTAAATAGAAATGGACCTGCTCCCTACCTGTCACAGACGTAGGAAGAGTGTTGGCCTTTTTCAGCTGTTCTCTGCGCTCCAGCCTAGACGCTACAGTCTCGGGCTTCTTCTCTTCCGGCGGGGCGGTGGCCTTCTGCAGGGAACCTGCTCTGCTCACGCTGCCGCCTGCAGGCTGCGGGCTGCCACTGACCTGAATGCGCAGAGAGAAGAGTGTGTTTTCCACTGAAGGCGTGGAAAGACCGGCCTTGTGGGCCTCAGGGGCTTCTGCCTGCCAGTCCCTGACCTCCAGTCCCCAGAGCAGGACTGGACTGGACTTGTGAGCCACGTGTGCTCAACCCAGGTCCCCACTGGGAGCAGATCAGTGCCATGTGCCAAAGAGGGAAAGTGACTTTCCCAGATGAGCCCCATCAAACTGACTATAAAAACCAGGCCACAGGACAAGTCTCCTAATTTCCTCTGGACCCAATGCTCAAATAAAATCACCTTCATATTTTTCATATAACTATTATGTATCACTGCTATAAATATGTGATGGATTTTGCCAAAATCAGGTTAAGCTAAGACCATAATGAAACCACGTCAAATTTCACACTGAAAATGCTTACCTGGCTTATTTACTGCGCTAGCCTTTCTAAGAATTCTCCACCACCCTCATCTAGCCTTTTCTTTTGTTCTGTTTTGTTTTTAATCCTTGTGACCTAAAAAAGAGCCAAACTCAGGAAGGCAAAGTTAAAGTGGAAGAACAGGCTACTCACATTTTCTTTGGAGAGCTTTTCTGCATGTTTGGCCTCTCTGGCCTGCTTCCTCTCCTCTCGAGTTGCCTGCTGCTCCCGAAACCCCTTCTGCTTTTGCAGTGCTAACGTTATCCACAGGGGCTGTGCAGTTTCCACTCTCTCAGTAAGTTTGGAGCCATCCAAAGAGTGCCTGCTCTGAAGCACCGGCTTCTCTGAGGGGGGCAAAGGACAAAAGCAGATTTGCAGTGAAATTAACTGCTGACCTATCTCCGTTCCACACGCCCTAAAACTTGTGGCGTATTAAGAAGCCTATGGGCCGGGCGCGGTGGCTCACGCCTGTAATCCTAGCTCTCTGGGAGGCCGAGGCGGGCGGATTGCTCAAGGTCAGGAGTTCGAAACCAGCCTGAGCAAGAGCGAGACCCCGTCTCTACTATAAATAGAAAGAAATTAATTGGCCAACTGATATGTATATAAAAAAATTAGCCGGGCATGGTGGCGCATGCCTGTAGTCCCAGCTACTCGGGAGGCTGAGGCAGAAGGATCTCTCGAGCCCAGGAGTTTGAGGTTGCTGTGAGCCAGGCTGACGCCACGGCACTCACTCTAGCCTGGACAACAAAGCGAGACTCTGTCTCAAAAAAAAAAAAAAAAAAAAAAAAAAGAAGCCTATGAAATAATCAACTGTACCTTCCTAAACTCTGTGCTTATGCCTGAGTGACTCCACTAGGTGGGAGGCTAACATCTTTGACCAACGGGGGCATTTCTCTTCCCTAGAAATGGAAGAAGTTCCCTCTACTTTGTAAAAAAAAACAAAAAAACAAAAAAAAGAGTAAAATCTCCAGTGTCAAAATCTCAGGTCTAGAGAGGATTCACAGTTATGTGGTTCACTGTTCTTTTTTTAATTCATTGCTTTAATGAAACTTATTTTTAGCAATGGAAACTTTTATCCCCCTAGATAACATCCTATGTGGAACACCAATGTTTGAAGGATGAAAAAAGGGTGCTGTTCTAAGGGGCTGCCGAGGGCAGCAAGGCTCTGAGGAACACGGGGAAACACCCATGATTTTGCTCCCTGTCCTCATCTGACAGATGTGAGCAGTAGGGTCCACAGCCATCAACGCCTGTGCCCAAAGTCACTCAGCAGTTAGCACACAGGCTGAAGCTGGAACACAGGTCTTCTGACTTCCAGTCTGTGCCTTGCTCGAGGTTGACTGTCCCACCCACGCAGTCAGGGTAAACACAGGTGGCTGGTATCAGAGGTTGGGTATTGGGCTTCGAAACGGAGCACACCTGGGTTTGATCATCTGCAACCTTGGAAAAGCTACTTAACCTCTCTCAGCTCTAGTTTTCTGATCTATAAAGCAGAGATGATAATGGCACGTGTCTGATCAAGTTGCCATGAAAACTAAAAGAGATCCTGGGTCTGAGAACATTTAGAACACTGCTTGGCATACAGAAATCACTCCACAAAAGCGACCTGTTATTATTATTTATGCCTGTGAGACAATGGTCCCCTTCTTTTCCCTCAAGTAAAAACTATGCACTTTCAGAGGTAATCATTTTGGTATTGAATCTTTTACTATCTCAAAGGGAAAGGGCTCACTATAGTGTTGTTTTTGAAATCCGGCAGAAGTTTCCACTTTGACGGTCCTGAACCTTACCACTTGCACTTATTATAACACAGATCCTCTCCAGGATGAGAGGAAAGACCAAGTAAGTTCTAATTAAGAATGCAAGCCAAAAAAAAAAAAAAAAGGCAGATTTTGCTTATTTTTCTGTATCCTTTAGATCTACAATGTTGTACAATGAGAATTTATGCTTATAATGAGCCTTGGGCATTGCAATATCCCTAATCATCAAATAAAACTTCAATTATGATCTAACACAGAAAAGAAAACTGACACATTAAAGAGGTATTTAAAAACAAAACTAAAATTTAAAGGAGTTTTTGATTAATTTTTAGTTAACCAGAAATGTAAAAAAATTCACCACCTCAAACATTCTGCTTTACTGAGAAACTACATACACTGGAACTTAAGGAAGTTCCTGTTTTTCACTTCAAGGGCCCTGTCACATTTCTTTGTAAAAGTTCTAAAAACCAAACTGCCAAGATCTAAATGATTTCCATATAAAAAGCTATAAAGGGAAATGTGGACTAAACATTCAATCTGAACTTGCTGGGGAAGGCCAGTTTCCTGCCAACAACTTCGGTGTTTATCACAAGGATCAAAATGCCTTTAAAGTATAATTGACTAAATTTATAATTGACTGAAGCAATTTGAAAAAAGAAACTTCTGGGTAGGGAGAGGAGGAAAGATGCCAGCTGCAGCATGGGGACAATGGGTGTTTTGGAGACAGAATCCGAGCAGCCGAGGGAAGCTGGCCTGGGGGTTCTTTCATCTCACATGTTTTACCCCAAACACACAACCACACAAGGGCTTCTCTTGACATTTCTCAAAAATGAGAGAAGAGAACTATTTGTCCCCCCAGCTGCCTGGAGAATCTCAGAGACCAGCAGAAATCTACCACTGTCAAAGACAACAAATAAAACAGTGAAGACAAGATGTGGTATCTGGAAAAATTGATATGAAAGGAAGGTCCACTGAGCAGGCTTTGGATCAACTGGAACTCAGTGACAAAAGGGGGACTCAAATAAAGAGGTTCTCTGAGAAGCATCAGATGTGACAATGAGACCGTAAGGTGGATTCCGATTGTATTTACATATAGCTGAGTCTGCCTCAGGGTGAGGCCAGTGGAATCTGCCACCACGGCAGAGATTGCTGTGGGATCACGGAGAAAGTTTAGTGCCACTCTTCTGTGAAGTTGGGGGGGTCCCCACCTCCACATGAGGTGCCAAAGACAGTAAAGTCACTCACGCCAAAGACTATATATTCAGGAGCTTTAAAACTAGACCATCCTTCACACTCCACGATGGGGGAACTCAAGACCCACAAGGGGTTTGGTCTCAGTGTCAGCACCTTTAACTTACTACTTGTCTTAGTGAGTACCATTGCCAGGTATGAACTGCAGACACACTGCAGAGTCGGTAAGCATTTCCAAAATCTTAAAAGAATGAGTAAACTGTGACTCGTGAGTCTTCAGGAATAGCAGACCAGCCTCTGATACCGGAAGTGAACCCAACACCAGCTCCACGGGCTACCTCTGGCTTTGGGCACTTATGGCTCTAGCAATGACACAGAGGATGAGCTGGAGAGAGGCAGAAGTTTGCGTCCTGCAGTTACATACCTTTCCTCCCAGCCTCAGGGGTTTGGGAAGGCTTCTCTTGCTCAGCAGCAGACAGAGGTGGGGAAGCAGGTTTCCTCTCTGTCACTTCCTCTTCGTCCTTCTGTTCCTTCCTTTCCTCAGGGGCTGAGGGCGATGGTGGCTGGGGCTCGCTGCTCTGCTGGACTTCCTTCGCCGGCTCGCTCGGCTCCAGATTGGGCTTCCCGGCTCTGCGAGCCAGCAGCTCCACCAAGTAGGGCCTGCTCAGTTTGGAGAGTGGGGATGATGGTGGGGTCTGACTGGCAGGCTTGGGAGCCAGCGCCGGCTTCTGTGCCAAGGGCATTTTGTTTGCTGCCTTGTCATGCTCTGGAGCCGGGGTCTGGCTGCTGGCGGGTGGGGCCCTGGGCTGGGCTACCGGAGGAGAAGGGCTTTCGGCAGGGTCCCTCCGCGTGGATGGGGCCTGCTTCCTCTCTTGGGGAAGGGAGGGGTCGCGCTTGACCGCCCCACCGTCTGTCTCTGTCTCTCCTTGGGAGCTCCCCACTGCAGGCGGGCCCCCCTCCACACTGTCTCCTGTGCTGCTGTGCCTCTTCTTCTTCTTTTGTTCTGCCTGTTGGTCGCAGTGGAAGCGCAAGGAGTAGTTGGTCCTTCTCAATTTTATTCCAAAAGGTGAGGCCTTTTCCTCCCCACCTGGCATCACGGGGTCTGGCTTTGCTATGGCATGGGTGGTCTCACCGTCCGAAGTGGTCGTGGACTCCGCATGGGCCGCTGCCTTCTGCGAAGCGTAAGGGGGGCTTGGAACAAGGAAAGATGGAAGGTCTTTGGCAAATTTGCATCCCTCTGTGGTGTCTGCTGGCTCCTGGTGCACCTCCAGCTTCTCCGGACTCTTCCGGGGCTCGGGGGCACCGGCAGGCGGAGGCGGGAGCGGGGTCTCTTCGCCGGGTCCCACTGTGGGTCTTTTCTTAATGCTTTCAGCTTCCGTGCTCGGTTCCGAGAATTTCTGCCAGGCAGGCATAATAGAGAACTTCGCATTCACCGGCGGGGTCTTCCGGAGGTTCCCGCGGGAATCACAGCGCGGCCTGGGGGTGGGCTCGTCGCCGGGCCGCGCCTGCTCCCTCTCGCTGCGCGGGTCACTCTCGGCGTTCTTCAGGATCCGGGACCGAATGGAAGCCCACTCGGCCAGCGCGGCCGCGCTGCTGGCGGACTCCGGGGCGGGCCTGGCCTTCCCGCTGCCCGCCCGGGGGTCGCCGGGCATTCGGGGCGGGTGCTCCACGGCGGGGACGTCCACGTGCTTCTTTTCTTCCGACAAGCCCAGGAGGGACTTGCACGCCATGTCCTTTATCTGGCTCAGGTTGACGGCCGGGCCGCAGAGCTGCGCCCCCGTGACCAGAATGGCCGTGTGGGGAACGCTCAGGGACGAGGGCAGCGCGTGGGGGGCCGCGCTGGACGGGGCCGCCTTCGGCTCCCGGGGCGCAGAGACGAGTCCCGCGTCCTTCGCGGGCGTCACGGGGCTCAGGTTGACTCTGGGGAAGAGAATCTGTTTCCCTCCCGAGGACACCTGGAAGGTGTAGGGCCTGGGCATGGTCTGCCTCTCGTCCACTTCCTGCCACCTCAGCTCCTCCACCTTCCGGTCTCTCTCTGGAGCGGCCGCCGGCTGCGCGTCTGCCGCCCGCCCCTCGCCTTTCTGGGGAGCGTCTGCTCTCGCCGCTTGTGTCCCTTCCTCCAGCGCCGCACGCTCGTCCCCGTGGAGACGCCCCCTCTGCCCCTGCCGCGGCCTCGCGGGCCCGGCCTCCGGGCTCTGCTCCTCGCCGACGCTCGGTTCCTCGGAGACTTGGCTTTGCCCTCTGGGCTCTGCGTCTTCCGGCTCTTCGGGCTTCTCCTCCAGGTCAACGTGAAGCGGGCTCCGCGGGCCCCTCCTGTCCTCGGGCTCGAGCTGTCGCCCTTCCTCGGCGCTCCGCGCCGCCTCCGCAGGCCCGGCCTCCTCCTGCCGCCTCCGCGCCGCCATGTCCTCCCGCCTCTTCAGCTCTTCCGCGAGCCTCGTCGCCGCCGCCTCCTCCTCCTGCCTTCGGAGCTCCTCAGCCCGTCTCCTCTCTTCTTCCTCCTGCCTTCGGAGCTCCTCGGCGTGTCTTCTCGCCTCTTCTTCCTCCTGCCTTCGGAGCTCCTCAGCCCGTCTCCTCTCCTCTTCTTCCTCCTGCATTTTTTGCTCCTCTGCGCGTTTTCTCGCCTCTTCCTCCTGCTTTCGGAGCTCCTCAGCCTGTCTCCTCTCCTCTTCTTCCTCCTGCCTTCGTTGCTCCTCAGCGCGTCTCCTCTCCTCTTCTTCCTCCTGCCTTCGGAGCTCCTCCGCGCGCTTGCTCTCCTCCTCTTCCTCCCGCCGGCGCTGCCGCAGCTGCTCTTCCGCCTGCGCCTGCGCGCGCATGCGCTCCTCGCGCTCCTCGGCCTGCGCCTGCGCGCGCATGCGCTCCTCGGCCTCCAGGCGCTCGCGCTCCTCGCGCGCCCTCCGCCCTGGCTCGGGCCAACCTTGCGCTTCCAGGCTCCGCCGCTGCCCTTCCGCCTCTAGCTGCGGCTCCTCCCCGTCGCCCTCCTCGTCCTCCTCCTCCAGGAGCTCCTGCCTCCTGTTCTCTTCCCAGAGCCGCCGCTCCAGCGCCTGCAGCCGCTGCTCCTCCAGGCGTCGCTTCTCCGCTGCTTCCGCCTTCTGCCGCCTGCACTTGGCCTCCAGCTCCCGCCAGTAGTCTTCGTGGCGTCTTTTCTCTTCTTCCGCATCCAGGGGCTCTGGTTCCTCCTCATGCCGGATGTGCTTGTCTTCCCCCAGGTGTCCGTTCTGGTCCAGGGAAGGCTGACTCTCCAGGCCACCGTGCTCATTTTGTCGGTCCTGTCATTGAGAAGGGAAACAGAATTAGCCTTTTCCTTTTTCTGCACACAATCGTCACTCTTCCTATTCACAATGTCAGTGGCCCTCTTCATCGCTAGAGAACACTTGGGAAGTGTAAGGCCGGTGGCGGCCCCCCTCCCCTCCTGGAATCTGCAAATACCGCCAGCTCCGCCCATTTCTCAGTAACAGACAAAGGCCACAGTGGAAAATCCCCAGCTCTTCCCGCCAAAAGTCCTCAGCCTGCTTCAGACTGCATGAAAGCACTCACCCCTTTCAAAGGGGCGTGACTTATCTGGACCCTCTCTCAGGACCCCGGAACCTCGCCCGGGAGCGCTCAAATAAAGCCTCGTTGCTTGCCCCTTTCCACTCTGCTCGTCTTTCTTTCTCTGGCGGCGGACCATCCAAAAATCCTTACAGGAAGCACGTGTTCTCATGTATAGGTATAGGTAAGCTTAGACATTGGTCACACAAGGCAAGAGTCTCAAATGTGGGAATGGAGGAAAGAACTTCATCTGTGTGATTTGCCCTGCAGCCCTCTGTCATTCCCAAACCCCTTTTCTTAATATGAATGAACAGTAGTTCAGCATTAAGAAGAGTAAAAAGAGAAAATTGGACTTCATCAATGTCCCCTGAAGCTTGTGACTTAGAAGCCCAGCCTAACCAAACTGAGGGACCTTTGGGTAAGCCACGGCAGAGGAAGGCTGTCACCTTTCTGCTGCAAAGCAACTCAAAGCATGTGGAGCCCCTCAAAAGGCAGCCTTTCCCTCTGAGGTCAACCAGCCTCACATCAGAAAGGGCCATGGAGACAAAGCAGGCCTGCTTGTCCTGTACACTGCCACACACTCAAGTTCCCAATGGGGAGACACCTAGATCATTCCACGGCTCCACCCCAACACCAACCCACTTGGCAGAGTTAGTGCCTAGCCAGCAAGGGCGCCTGCCTGGTCAGCCCGGACAGGCTCTACGCACCCGGGCAAGCCGCCTGTGCTTCTTTGACACCCTCTGGTTTTTTGGCTTAACGGACAGTTTGTGCTTGGCAGCACTGTTGTCCAGGCGAGCGATGGCCAGGGGGATGGCATCTAGGTTGACACTTTCGATGGTGCCAGCAGAAGAGAAGTGCCTTTTTGGCCGAGACGGTTTAACTGGAGCAACCTATTGGGGAGATTAAAATAGAAAATCAGTCCGGATCAGAAGACAGTCTGTGGGCAATCCCGGAATGGTAGCACTGCTTCGAGTCTGTGCCTTACCCAGCCCGGCCCAGGGAATGCTGGCACCAAGGGGGCTCTTCAGTGCAGTGAAACAGGCACAGCACTGCTCGTTTCAGTACTGACACGGGGTTTTGTGATCAAAAGACCTGATGTTGACTGTTTGTTCTGCCAATGGCTATTTGTATTAACCTTTCAGAGACTAATCTTCCTACACTGAATAATATAGGGGGAGGAGGAGGGTTAGAGTAGCTCAGTGGGGCAGCAAAACATAGCCAGGAGGCCAAATCCTGCCAGTAGCCTGTTTTGGAAAATAGAGTTTTCCTAGCACACAGCCACCCCCATTGTCTTTGGTTGCTCTTGTGCCACAAAGGCAGAGAAACACAAAGAAGGGTCATGGAGCTGTGCAGTTGCAAATCCTAGGTCGCAAATCCTAAAACAATGAGTAGTTTGCTTACCCTTGGACTAGATCATCTCTAAGCCTCACTGTGCAAACATGCCTCAGCTCCTACATGGAATTTTAGTCCCTTCTAAGCAGGGAATGTGTCTTTCATCTTCATATAAGTCCCTTTATGCCCAAGTAGCAAATCTCATTGTTCAGGGCTCAGTTAAGTATTTGTGGAAGGAACAAAGGAAAATAACGTATAAACATCTATGCTTAGGGCTTGAAGTTTCCTGATCAGCAAAAGTGTTTTGGCACAATCACTCCCAAGTCACAGAGCACTGAGGGGACGAGGAGCTAAAAGGAAGAGGACCTTGGTGCACAAGGGAGTGACAAAAGCCTGCCACGAGAGCAAGTCCATTTCCTCAAAGGATGAACTGCAAAATGGCCTGCAGCTCTGGAATGCAGATGCAATCACTGAAAAACCACAATCTCAGATGAATTGCACAGGTTTAGGAAGGTCAGAGAGACTGTGGCACAGCACGAACCCAGAGGCCACATCAGAAGGTAGGAGGCCACGCAGGTAACCACAGAGAATTCACCAGCCATCAGCGAGCAAAGAGCTCTTGGCCACATAATGCAAAGTGTGGCCAGAGGCGCTCCCAGCTCCGGCTGCCTCTGCCCACGGCTCTGCCGAGGCCGGGGTTCCTCTGTTTGACTGTGTGCCTGCTATAAATGCAGAGTCTGCGAGGTTTAGCCGAGGGGCTTGCTTTCTGCGATTACCTCCCACGTTTACGAACAAAAGATAAAACACCAAGCTAGCGCCAAGAGCAAAATGGATGGCCAGTACATATTAATTTCTAACCAGAAGCACAGAAACACAGAAAAATAATTCCAACCTTTGGCCTTCTAGCTTTCATTTATTTATGGTTATCTTTATAATAGGTATCAAATTCTGAACTATTGTTGAAAAGAGATGAATTAAACATTGATTTCCGTCCTCGAACAGATGCCTGGGGAAAGGGAGTCGGAGCCAAATGTGACAGACTGCAGACGTCGATAAGCACTGGAAGCGGAGATTTAAGTGCTATGCTTCGTCTCTAGTTGTCCCACTGGGCCCCTTCATTGCCTGGACGTTGGCCCTGTTGTGAGCCACCCCCTTCTTCAGGAGCAGACCCTGCTCACTGCATAGCCTGCCGGACATAGCCTCCCGGTCCCCCGTGCAGATGGAAAGTCCTCATCAGAGCACGTCCGCTCCTACAGAAGACGTGCACAGGGAACGCAGTCCACAGGGTTTCCTAGACTCCTGCAGGGAAAGTCCCAGGTTTAAAAGGACACAGAAAAGTTTTCAAAACAAAACAAAACAAAACCCCTTAAAATGCTAAAAGGTTTTTGTTTTTTGCATCTTTAAATATAATGACTCTTTTCCTTGGAGACTTGGGTACAGGTATTCTAGAATACCTTTCTCAATGGATTAACAGTGTCTTGGAGTACGTGATACATTTAGGAAAGCTACCAACTTCCAAGTCCCCAAACACAGGTATACATGGCGTGTGGCTATTTTTCAGAGCAGCGTTCAGTTTCGGCAGGTGTCTTGCTGTAGAAACAGACGCTCCAACATCTACCACTGGTTGCATTTTGAAGGAATTTCAAGTGATATATGAAGGCAACATTTATGAATGGAAGATGAGGCAGAGGATTGCCAACAACAACAAAAAAAGGAAGTTTAAGTAAGTAAGTTGAAATCATATTACCTTCTCTTCCATCTCACTTCCAGCTGCAGGTAGATTCAGGGGACTCAGAGAACTTGGCGTATCACTGGGCTGGAACAGCAGAGAGAGCACTCAAGTCAGATGCCAGAACAGGAAGTTCTGGGCAGCTAACCAGACACTGTCTGTGCCTGGACAGGCCTGTCCCCTCCTCCGCACAGGTGCAGCTGGCCTCAGAGAGCCAGCGGGAGTCACGGCGGGGGCTTTGCTAATGGCTGGAGTCCACGAGGACTACCTGGAGCAGAGGCTGCACCAGGGTTGCCCGAGTTCAACGCATCTCCCACCTGGGCAGTCCCCAACTCCGTCCCTGGGGTTTTGTCACTGCCGGGGAGAAGCCGAGGGGCCGATCACCAGCTGCCTTCCCCGAGAGGCAGGCCTGCGTCACACACATAGCCTCAGCCTCAGCGCCCCTGGCCTCGAGGGCTGCCTCTGCCCCTTCACCCGGCAGACCTGTCCCCTCTCGGGGGTGAGTGAGAGGAAAAGGCCCTAGCGATGCCGCACGCCAAGGGACGGCCGAGAAGGTGGGAGCCAGGGAGTGGCCAACAATCACAGGAGGGAACGAGAAGGAAACAGCAGAGAATTGACACCCAGTGTCCTGGGCTTGGCCTAGGACAGCCCCAGGGGTTACCTGCACCTGGGCTGGCCCGCTATCCCACCATCCTGTGTCACCACTTTTTATAAAAGGGCCTTATCTTCGCCTCCAGAGTGACCACGTCCGCTCGCCCTCCCTCAGTCCGTTCTCCACCCCACACGCTCAGAAGGGTCTTTAGAAAACACACATCAGATCACGTCACTGCTCTGCTTGAAATTACTCAGAGGCCTCTCATTACCTTCCAAAGCGAATTCACTTTCCCATGGTCTACACCAGGTGTCCTCAAACTACAGCCCGCAGGCCACATACGGGCTGCCTAGCACATTTATCCGGCCCTCCGGGTGTTTTTGCCGCCACTGCCTGTCCTGCTTAGCAGCCGACTCGTCCCGGGCCCACAGTGCGCACTCTCCAACGGTCTGGGGGACAGAGAACTGGCCCCCTGTTTAAAAAGTTTGAGGACCCCTAGTCTACACCATCCGGCCCCACACCCCACTCTGTGTTCCACCCACGCCTACCAGGGTCCGGCCACAATTTTCATCTAAATAAGCAGCTGCTGGCCCCCAAGTCACTCACTTTCCCATCACCCTGTTTTATTTCCTGCGCAGCCAGCAATTTTCGTGATCTGCGCGGATTCCGTGTCTGTCTGTGGACCTGTCTGCGGTGTGGGACGAGGACCGCACAGAGGCGGGCCCGGGCCCCACCTTGCGTGGGGGACAGCGCCCGCTGAGCACACAGTCCTCCTGCTCCCCCCAGGCCCTGGGCTTATGAGATCATCTGGGACAGCGCAGGCACTTGCTTCAGGCCTCAGGCGACCCCGCACCACGGCCATGGCCGTCGCTGCTGCCGAGCGCTGGAGACGCTGGGACGCCCGTTTCTGGCCCCATCCTGCTTCAGCCCCACACCAAGGGCGTCAACGTGTGGCTGCCAGGGGCACCAGGCCAGGCCTTAGGCAGAGATGGGCAGCAGAGGGCCCACCCTTCTTCACTTCTCTGTCTCACGTTCCTCTGCAAACTGCTTCTCTGTCTCTCTTTTTTTTTTTTGAGACAGAGTCTCACTCACTCTGTCGCCCAGCTAGAGCACACTGTCATCATAATAGCTCACAGCAACCTCAAACTCCTGGCTCGAGTGCTCCTCTTGCCTCAGCTCCCCAGTAACTGGGACTACTACTCAGGTGTGTCCACCACGCCTGGCTAATTCTTCTATTTTTTGTACAGATGGGGTCTCGCTCTTGCTCAGGGTGTCTCGAACTCATGACCACAAGTGATCCTCCCACCTCGGCCTCCCAGAGATCTAAAATTACAGGGTGAGCCACCACGCCCGGCTTGCTTATCTTTCTTACATTTTATGACATGTTAGCTGATAGCACATGATTTCTTCTAAGGCAAGCCATTTTAATAATACCAACAAAATTTCAGGCACTTTGCTAGGCAGAGCCGAGAGAATGGGTTTTGTGGTCTGTTTGAGATTGGAAGCCCCTGGTACCTCACCTAGAGAATTCTTACTCTGGCTGCTAGACTTTTGCACTTTTCCAGAAGAGGTCTAAGATCCTTTCTGCTGCTTTGGAAGAACCCTCTTCAGGATATGCTCAAGGTGTTTCCTTTAAAGCATCAAGAGACCAACTTAGATGGGACGGGCTGGAATGTTGACTTTATTTCCAGCTCAGTACTCTCCAAGCCGGCCTGTCTGATGGTTCCGTCTCACTGAGCCCCACTGCTTGTTTTTCATTTCCCTTCCAAATTAGTCCAACAAAGCAGGCAGTAGCCAGGTCTCAAGAAACACAGGTGTGTGAATTCAGTTGTCCTCAAGAAACTCAGCATTAGAGGTGGAGAGTGAGCATGTGACATGGACAAGGATGGGGTATAGCTGTGTGGACAGCAGAAAAGTACACAGGTGAAGGCCGGGCATGGTGGCTCACGCCTGTCATCCTAGCACTCTGGGAGGCGAGCGGGAGGTCATTCAAGGTCAGGAGTTCGAAACCAGCCAGAGCAAGAGCGAGACCCGTCTCTACTAAAAAGAAAGAAATTAATTGGCCAACTAAAAATATGTAGAAAAGATTAGCCAGGCGTGGTGGCGCATGCCCGTAGTCCCAGCTACGGTGAGGCTGAGGCAGGAGGATGCTTGAACCTGGGATGTGGAGGTTGCTGTGAGCTAGGCTGACGCCATGGCACTCTAGCCTGGGCAACAGAGTGAGACTCTGTCTTGAAAAAAAGGCACACAGTGAAGGCACAGAGGAGGAGATAACACAGCTTGGGGTGAGGTCAGGGAGGCTTCCTGGAAGAGGTGGAGCAGAAGCCTTGAAGGGTCAGTGGAAGGCACTGGAGGAGCACGTGCAAAGGGCATGTCTCTAGTCCTCCTCTTCTCTCATTGTCTCTGGTCGGGACACCTGCCCAGGAAGTGCCCTCTAGCCTTCTCCCACGTTTCCCCAGCGCACTACAGACCCAGGGCTCACGGATGCCCGCACCCTGCCTGGCTTGTGGTGACGCAGTCGTTCCCTGCGGAGACTTACTTTGTTCTCAGTGTCTGAGAGGACGATGTCCTGTGGTCACTTTCCATGGGACTGGTCAGGAGCAGATCCTCTTCTAAGCTGGCCTTCCCCATGCCGCTTCTTCATGGGAACGGCGTTGGCGCGCCGCTGCCAAACTTGATATTCTTGCCCAACTGTTGCTGGTGAGAACAGAAGGAAGACGGTCGGAAGCAGTGCAGCAGCCAGGTCTCCCCGCACTGCTGGTGAGCGCGGAGGCATACGCTGGCCACAGCCATCTCTACACTCAACGCCATGCCGGAAACCGGCGATGCCGGCCCGAATCAGTGATTGTTGTTTCCCCCCTTCTTTTCTTTTCTTTCCCACCTTCGAGCCATGAGCTTTCTCAAGCAGACACCTCTTTGATGGAGATGTCAACATTTCCAGTGGGCATAGAGACCACGTTTCTGAGCCAAAAGTTGGGATCTTATGACAAAATTATTTGATTCACCTACACATATGTTTATATGAAAGTCTTTTAAAAGTATTGAAAAAAATTGTGTAGAAACAGTCACACGAAATGTAGAACCCCGGGGAAAAAGCAGACCCTTAGGGTCAGTGCAAGCGAACTCAACAGCAAGTTGTACTTCTGCGACCTCCCTCGCCAGCCTTGAAATTACTCAGAGGCCTCTCATTACCTTCCAAAGCGAATTCACTTTCCCATGGTCTACACCAGGTGTCCTCAAACTACAGCCCGCAGGCCACATACCGGCTGCCTAGCACATTTATCCGGCCCTCCGGGTGTTTTTGCCGCCACTGCCTGTCCTGCTTAGCAGCCGACTCATCCCGGGCCCACAGTGCGCACTCTCCAACGGTCTGGGGGACAGAGAACTGGCCCCCTATTTAAAAAGTTTGAGGACCCCTAGTCTACACCATCCAGCCCCACACCCCACTCACTCTGTGTTCCCCCCACGCCTACCAGGGTCCGGCCACAATTTTCATCTAAATAAGCAGCTGCTGGCCTCCAAGTCACTCACGTTTCCATCACCCTGTTTTATTTCCTGCGCAGCCAGCAATTTTCGTGATCTGCGCGGATTCCGTGTCTGTCTGTGGACCTGTCTGCGGTGTGGGACGGGGACCGCACAGAGGTGGGGCCGGGCCCCACCTTGCGTGGGGGACAGCGCCCGCTGAGCACACAGTCCTCCTGCTCCCCCCAGGCCCTGGGCTTATTAGATCATCTGGGACAGCGCAGGCACTTGCTTCAGGCCTCAGGCGACCCCGCACCACGGCCATGTCGCTGCCACCAAGCGCTGGAGACGCTGGGAGGCCGGTTTCTGGCCCCATCCTGCTTCAGCCCCACACCAAGGGCGTCAACGTGTGGGTGCCAGGGGCACCAGGCCAGGCCCTAGGCAGAGATGGGCAGCAGAGGGCCCACCCTTCTTCACTTCTCTGTCTCACGTTCCTCTGCAAACTGCTTCTCTGTCTCTCTTTTTTTTTTTTTTGAGACAGAGTCTCACTCACTCTGTCGCCCAAGCTAGAGCACACTGGCCTCATCATAATAGCTCACAGCAACCTCAAACTCCTGGGCTCGAGTGCTCCTCTTGCCTCAGCCTCCCCAGTAACTGGGACTACTACTCAGGTGTGTGCCACCACGCCTGGCTAATTTCTTCTATTTTTTGTACAGATGGGGTCTCGCTCTTGCTCAGGGTGGTCTCGAACTCGTGACCACAAGTGATCCTCCTACCTCGGCCTCCCAGAGTGCTAAGATTACAGGTGTGAGCCACCACGCCCGGCTTGCTTATCTTTCTTACTACTTTTATGACATGTTAGCTGATAGCACATGATTTCTTCTAAGGCAAGCCCATTTTAATAATACCCAACAAAATTTCAGGCACTTTGCTAGGCAGAGCCGAGAGAATGGGTTTTGTGGTCTGTTTTGAGATTGGAAGCCCCTGGTACCTCACCTAGAGAATTTCTTACTCTGGCTGCTAGACTTTTGCACCTTTTCCCAGAAGAGGTCTAAGATCCTTTCTGCTGCTTTGGAAGAACCCTCTTCAGGATATGCTCAAGGTGTTTCCTTTAAAGCATCAAGAGACCAGCTTAGATGGGACGGGGCTGGAATGTGACTTTATTTCCAGCTCAGTACTCTCCAAGCCGGCCTGTCTGATGAGTTCCGTCTCACTGAGCCCTCACTGCTTTGTTTTTTCATTTCCCTTCAAATGAGTCCAACAAAGCAGGCAGTAGCCAGGTCTCAAGGAAACACAGGTGTGTGAGATCCAGTTTGTCCTCAAGAAACTCAGCACTTAGAGGTGGAGAGCGAGCAGTGTGACATGGACACAGAGATGGGGTATAGCTGTGTGGACAGCAGTAAAGATACATGGTGAAGGCCGGGCGCGGTGGCTCACGCCTGTCATCCTAGCACTCTGGGAGGCCGAGGCGGGAGGATCACTCAAGGTCAGGAGTTCGAAACCAGCCAGAGCAAGAGCGAGACCCCGTCTCTACTAAAAATAGAAAGAAATTAATTGGCCAACTAAAAATATGTAGAAAAGATTACCCAGGCGTGGTGGCGCATGCCCATAGTCCCAGCTACTCGGGAGGCTGAGGCAGGAGGATCGCTTGAACCTGGGAGTTGGAGGTTGCTGTGAGCTAGGCTGACGCCATGGCACTCTAGCCTGGGCAACAGAGTGAGACTCTGTCTTGAAAAAAAAGGCACACAGTGAAGGCACAGAGGAGGAGATAACACAGCTTGGGGTGAGGTCAGGGAGGGCTTCCTGGAAGAGGTGAGCAGAAGCCTTGAAGGGTCAGTGGAAGGCCCTGGGAGGAGCACGTGCAAAGGGCATGTCTCCTCGTCCTCCTCTTCCTCCTCATTGTCTCTAGGTCGGGACACCTGCCCAGGAAGTGCCCTCTAGCCTTCTCCCACGTTCTCCCCGCACTACAGACCCCAGGGTCACGGATGCCCGACACCCTGCCCTGGCTTGTTGGTGACGCAGTCGTTCCCTGCGGGAGACTTACTTTGTTCTCAGTGTCTGAGAGGACGATGTCCTGCTGGGTCACAATTTCCATGGGACTGGTCAGGAGCAGATCCTCTTCTAAGCCGGCCTCCCCACTGCCCGCCTTCTTCATGGGAACGGCGTTGGGCGGCCGCTGCCCAAACTTGATATTCTTGCCCAGCTGTTGCTGGTGAGAAACAGAAGGAAGACGGTCGGAAGCAGTGCAGCAGCCAGGTCTCCCCGCATAGCTGGTGAGCGCCGAGGCATACGCTGGGCACAGCCCATCTCTACACTCAACGCCATGCCGGGAAACCGCGATGCCGGCCCCGAATCAGTGAATTTGTTTTCCACCTTCTTTTCTTTTCCTTTCCCACCTTCGAGCCATGAGCTTTCTCAAGCAGACACCTCTTTGATGGAGATGTCAACATTTTCCAGTGGGTACAGAGACCACGTTTCTGAGCCAAAAGTTGGGATATGTTATGACAAAATTATTTGATTCACCTACACATATGTTTATATGAAAAGTCTTTTAAAAGTATTAAAAAAAATTGTGTAGAAAACAGTCACACGAAATGTAGGAACCCCGGGGGGGAAAAGCAAGACCCTTAGGGTTAGTGCAAGCGAACTCAACAGCAAGGTTTGTACTTCTGCGACCTCCCTCGCCAGCCCCCAGCTGGAGACCCCCCCCACCCAACGCTGGGTCACTGCCAAGGCGAAGAAGGCCCCGGGGCCAGCAAGTCTTCCCATAATCAATGCTGAAATCATGTCAGGGACAGGAACAATCCGGACTTCTCTTTGCCCTGCTGCAGCCACCCAACCGAGAGAGAGGGGACCAAAGGAACCAAGTGGGGGCCAAGGGCCAAGAAAGGACTGATTGGTGGTAGGTGGTAGCTAAGAGGAGAGGGGGAAGGGAGGAGGAAATGGGGCAGAAATTAGAAAGGTAAATAGTATTTCGAATTAGAGAAATGCCAGATTAGAAAAGAAAAAAAAAATGTCTCCAAAAGTTGCCCAATGTCCCTTTGGGGGCAAAGCTGCCACAGCTGAGAACCACCGCTGTAGATCTTGCTTTCGTAGTCCTTATATGCCTCAAAAAATGCATTCTCTCATATTTATCTTTAATCTGGCTAGTATTTATCCCACAGAGCTGCAAAGAGCCTTAGCAATCACCTACTCCAAAGCCCTTTGCAAAAAAAGTCAGAGGTCCAGTGTGGAGAGTGACTGACCCAAGCTTATAAAAAAACGAGTGGCCCAAAAGGAATCTGAACTCGGGTCATGTAAAATCGCATTCAGCATTATTTTCATTGCACTCCACTGGTTCTCATATATTTGGCATCAGACTTCCTTCTAACAGGGGCAGAAATGAAGAAATGATGCCGCATTTTTCATCCTTCAGGGAAACACCTCTTCTCCCTTTGAACTCGAGGGTACCAAATCCACCCACCCTGCCCAGCTGCCCTTCAGCCTTGCAGAGTGGGCAGTGAGACCGCAGAGACATGACAGAGATGAGCCCAAGAGGCCCCTGCCCACACCCCCCGGGGACCCCAGCATGCCAGGTGAGGGGCACAGCAAGTCAAGGGCTTCTATTGGGTCCGCTGGCATTTCAGCCTGAGCCTGGCTGCCCGGCCCCACGGGAAGGGAGCGCACATGGAAAGCTCGCGTTCAGCCGGAGAGGGGTGCGGGGAGGAGAAGGCTGGAAAAGGGCGTCTTCTAAAAACAAGTGCAGCAGGAAGCAGCAGTTAGTTGTCTACTCTAAGCACATCCGTAAGCAGGCGCAGCGGGGACAGCCGATGGATGCAGTGAGACAAGAAGACATGAAGGAACAAGGTCACGGGCCCGTGTCACTCTGCAGCCTTTGGGGAGAGGGGTGGGGACCCGGGCAGAAGAGGTGGGGATGGTTTCTGTGTGCTCCCAGCCTAGCCTTCAGGAGTGACAAGTGGCCAAGGGCTGGAAATTGTCCTGCATCCCTGGATTGAGACGTGTTGGCAAGGCCTGCCGGTTACCGATGCCCCCCCATGACTGAGATGCTAATTCCTTAATGAGCTTCCAAGCAGAGCGTGGCCTAACGCTCTGGTGCCATTTCATTAGGATTGTTGCCACCGTCACAGAAAAGAATGGATACAGTGATGCTTTCCTTCATTCAGGCCCTTCACAGAATACTTATGTTGGTCCATGTTGATACTTAAGCAACAAAAAAGAATAAGGCAAAATGTAACCACAGTCTAGGATGAAATAAAGTCCAAAGATGGGGTGACTTGTGACCACAAATGGAGAAGAAAAGACAATGTGGGAAGAAAAATAAATACATAAATGGAATAAAAACAGAGACAATAAGGTAGGTACTTAGAGATGGAAATAGAAAGAGCAATGTTAAGACATGAAGTTGAGAGTTCAAGAAAAGAGGCGACTTGAGGGGGAGGTGCAGGGGACAGAGGGAATACACAGGGGCCAGGGAGAGCTGTGGGCCACCCGCAGTTTCACCGGCTGGGGGGCGTGGAAGGGCGGAGGGAGGAGACGAGGGACAGGGACAGAGGGGATGAGAATGTGTGTGTCTATCAGGGGGCTGATTGGTGGCACAGATGTGTTCTTCCCGGCAAAAGAAACACAACGCTGTTGCCTTCCAGACTGAAAATGTGCATCTTAGTGAAGTAGCTGACTTGAAACCCACCCTCCCTACTGAAATCCCGCCCCCCACCCCCAGAAAAAATAAAGTCTGCTGGTGTCTGGGGAACTTGGGTGGAGGAAATGAGATGGAGGAGGGGAGTGGTGGCCACGGCCAGGAGTAGGGCTACAGTCTCTGACCAGACAAGGAACTGTCTCCCAGACACGCCCTGCAGCTGTCGGGAAGAACGGGGGACTGGGCCAGGGCAGGACTCAGGGTCCAAGGCCGTGGTGACTGATCCTCAGGCACCCAAGGACAGGGCCTCCGGGGACAAGGCCTTCACACCTACCAGCTCGCCCTGCGGTTCCTCCTCTGAGCGCTTCCTCCAGCTGACTCAAAGGAGAGCAGGCCCTTGTCACATTCTGTGCAATTTAGGGACAGTTAAAAGGTGACTGCTCAAACCTATCTGGCCATCTCAGGTGTCACGTGAATTGAATACACAGATAAATGCGGCTTTTGTTACTTTAATTCTGCCCACTATTCAGGCATTGTCATGAGAGGAACTAAGATATAAACAATCACTGAAAAGCAGACTGTTAAGATGAGCTGGCCCTTAAGTTTTCAGAGAGAGAAACTACCATTTTTTAAATCCGATATGCTGGGGGCTCTTTCTTTATACACACCGCAATTACAGTTGAGAGTGGCGAGGGGAAGCTGGCGCCTATACTGACACTCCACGTTCCTGGTGGCTGTGAATGGAGTTACTGTTAAGTCTGGAATGTGAGCTAAAAGAAACTATATTTTATTCACTCAAATAGGGCCATTTTGTTGTACTATGGAATGCGGGAGAATGACGCTACAGGAATGCACATCCATATTTATAAGGCTGGTTCCTGTGGTGTGCAAATGCCAAGCACATCATATTCTGCAGCCCTCTCGCTGCAAGTGTCTCGATTTTACCAGATCTTTCCCAGCCATTCTTCAGACTAAGTCTGTAAGAGCGATGCAGAAATAAAAATAAAGTTGCTGTCTTCCTGAGCAAACTAGATACTTCCATAGTTAAAGTGAATCTAAAAAAAAAAAAAGAAAAGAACAGAACAGAAAAAGAAAAAGCATATGTAGATGGAAAGACACTTTTGCTCTAGGAAGAAGTGGCCAAGAGAAGGTGTTTATTCTTTGTGTCCGTGACAGCTGCATTAGGTGTCAACATCCTCAGATATATGAGTTTGACATTTGTAAGTGACATCCGGCTGAGCAGGAGGGACTAGCTACTGAGCGTGGAGATTTTCCCTCCCATGCCAAATACTCGTTGGCACAAAGAGACTAAGCATTTCCCGGCCAAGGTGTGGCATGATTCTAAAAATGACCTGCAGGCTTACACTGTGGTAGCCCTGAGTTTTATCATCAGTTAGTGCACGCCTCACAGCCCGGTCTTATCTCAGACAAACAGGCACCCTCCCTAATCCATGCTCTGGGCAGCTGTAGGAAATGTCAAGGTCACGGTAGCCCAAGTGCAATGAGGTGCAAAGCTTCTGAAGCCATGCGTGCTACAGCAGGTGAACAGTGTCTCTGGGCAGATCGCAGATTTTAAGAACCTGGGGGGGCCCTTCCGATCGCCTGTCACGGGCATCCCCTTGCTTTTCAGGTGGGGAAAGCGTCAGAGAGGTTAAATGGCTTCGCTAAGGCCACACAGCTAGGTGGTGGTAGCTTTTTATTTCACTGCATTCCCCCACTCATTCAAGTGGTACTCATGCTACCAGCCACGGAGCAACGGACTTGCTATGTGCAGGGTCCTCAAAAGGAAGCCATGGTTGATTTTGCTCCTATAACTGTCCTGTATGTTAAAATTTGTTCTCACTATGCACACGTATTATTTTTATGCTCAGAAAAAAATATGTAACTTTTCTTTGGACAGGTTCAATATTTTGGGGAGATTGGGGCAGGTGGTAGATTCACATATTCAGGAAAGGGCAGGCTGATTTATGCTGTGTTCGGTCATTCTGCAGCCCGTGGGGCGATTCAGGGCAGTTCTCGGTGAGGTGACTACGTGTGAACACTAGAGGGCGACCTTTCCAAAGGCAGTCGCTACAGACACTCTCCCTTGGGGTTCCAGGGGGCTGGAGAGTTTCCTAAGCCACAGAGAAAAATGTTTTGTTGTGTTTTTTGAATGGCATGCCAGGAGAAATCTCATTTCCAAAAGAATCTCTAATACTGGTGGGTAATCAGCTTGCCAGGAGATTCGCTGTCAAATAGGTGTTATCCATTATGTTCCTCTTTTTAAAAATAAACATACACACATACACAGAGACAATTCCAGACATAAAAACACACATGCCTCTGACACAATTAAACTCTCTCATTCCATGCTGGCGTCTACAAGGGGCGGTCTTTTGGGCTGCTTACTAAGCATCAATCCCAGCATAACGTTGTCATGGAAAAATGCAAAGCATTCATGCAAGTTAATAAAGTTGCTACTATTTCTGACTTACCAGGAACATACTGCTTAGTCGACTGAAAAATAAAGCACAGTCCTTTGGGGGTGATACGGTTATATCTTAGGTCTCTCCCAAAATCACATTTTCTGTGCTAATAGTCCCCACTTCCCTCCTCCAAGAGCAAACAAAGCCTCTTACAAATTTTCAAAACCATAACATCAGGGCTGAAAGGAAGCTTGTGAACCCATGCAGCAGAAGCAGAATTAGGCAGACCTCACGGGAGTCGATATTGTCAAAATGAGAGCAGGCAAATTAAACAGCTATTCCGCTTTACTCACAGTTTACTGCTTGTGTTTATGGAACTGTCGCTTCAAGGAAGTTAGTCGTTTAACATTTTATTAATTATGAGACCAGACTCTTGAAAACCATGCCTTATGTTAGCAGAAATACCAGACACTCATATATTTTTATTGCGTTTCTATAACTCCAATACTGCAGAATTATTCATTGTTTTTTTTTTTTTACAAACCTAAATCTACTCTTTGGAGTAGCGGTAGCATGTGATGTGATGTTTCGGAGCAGATATCATTTAAGACAAATTATGATCTCATTTTTTAAAGAACTCCCAGAAAGCCCTCATAAACTACAGCTGTTTTGTGGACTGAAAACCTGTGAGTCGTTCCTCTTACAAAGGGGCTATGAGGGGCCAGGGGAGGAGAACTTCTTAGGAATAATATTCCAGGAATCAAAAGACTTAAAAAAAAAAAAGGAGAGTCAAAGTGGTCTTTGGCCATCACAATCCTCCCCTCCTCTCCAACCTATGGGAAGTGACAGCTCACTTTTCCTTCTGAGTCTACAGAAAGTGTTACAAGCACAGCCAGACAGAACCCAGAGTGGAGCCCGCTTAGGAAACGCTGGGATGGGAGGGACGTGCCTGGGTGGGATCTGAGGGCAAGGCCGTGGCCTCGGCCGTGGTGGCAGCACCTAGGCAAGGTGGCCGTGGCGGTGCCGGGGTGTTGGCTACCTCCCCGATTGCCATCTGCTACATTCAGCTGAGTGTGGAATGTGTGACCGAACACATGTTCCACAAAACACCCCCAAATACACAGAAACAAGAACATCCTCAAGAAGATAGAGAATTTTCTTTTGGGTACAATGTTTCATCGTACCAGTAGGTACTGAGGCCAGCTGTTCCTTTTTTCTTTCTGCTCATTCATTCATTCATTTAATCCTTCCTGGTTATGGACATTATAGACAGATGGAAATCAGCAGCCTCCAAGCACGCTCCCCTTGGAGAAGTGCTGGCTTAGGCATTGCTTTGGGTGAGAGAATTTCACCAAGCAACTGGTCAAACCTACAAAGGCGGACCCTAAGTGTCTTTGCTCTTCTTGCTTTTCCTGGATTTCACATTCTTTCTTTTTTTTTTTTTTTCAAGACAGGGTCTCACTATGTTGCCCAGGCTGGTCTGTTCTCAAACTGCTGGACCCAAGCAATCCTTCCACCTCAGCCTCTTGAGTACCTGGCATTACAGGTGTGTGCCTGGCTGGGACTCCTGTTATTCCAAGCACATTTGGTGAAGACTCATTAACTATATTTTCATTGTTAGGGGGTTGCCACCGGAGTCAATTCTAGGTAAGAAAGCTGCCCCACTCTGCAGAGCGAACAGGAGGAAAGTTTAAGAGCTTTGCAGTCCTTTGAGATAGGTGGCTTGGGGAGCCCAGATTTATAAACCGTAGAAAAATAACGAGTCTCACCATTCACTGTCCCATTACGGAGACTTGGAAATTAAGTATGTGCTGTGCCTAATGGTTTGACCTCTCTCCTTCCATCCTGTAGTTTCTCTTGGGTATTTGTTCCCATGTCCAGTCAAAAGTGAGGGAACAATTTGAGAGAAAAGGAGAGAGTGTGTCACTCAGGCGGGGACCCTGGTGACAATGTCCCTCTCATGGGTGGACAGGAGGCTTCCAGAGAAGCAAGTCAGGTTCAAGAAAGCAGGAGTTCTCACCAGGAGTGACCCCTGACCTCCTAGCCCATGACTCAAGGCCACACTAGGGTTTGTTCCCAGTCCCCTCCGCAGCCGGGCCCCTCCTACGGCTCTGACCTTCCAGGCTCAAGCTGTCTTACCTGAAGAGTTTTGACTTTGCCCAGGATGTTGTCCTGTGACATTGCTTGAACTGTCTGCTCACTTTCTGCTCCCCCATCAGGGATAAAAATACTGTCATGAGAAAACGCCCGGGTTCCCATAGAATAGTTGAAGGACCTGGAATGCAAATCATGTGCTTCATTTTATTAGGATGATAACATTCCTTTTGGCAATTCAGTTTTCTCTTCTCCCTGATTCCAGGGACTCCACCCACACATTCCCCGTCTTGTTCAGCAAGCACTTCCAGCTTTGTGTCCCTTTCTGCCAGGGGTCAGCCAAGTAGCTGGGTAGACAAAAGGGGCCCACCGGAACAGGGGGGCATGGCTCTTAACACACCCCTAACTCCGAGCCACTCATGGAGAGAACGCAAGACAGTCATTTACCGGTGTAGGACCCAGGACAGAAGGGACAGCAGAACCTTTAACTGGAGGACCCTTTCTCCAGCTGAGCTGTCACTATCAGTTTTGTCCCAGTAAGTCTTGCCAACCTGCATTTCTTAAGGAACACCCAAATCTAGATGTAAGAGGCAAGGGCTTCTTTCTTTTAGAATACAACCAAATTGGAAGAAAGATACACACATCAAAAACAAAGCCCTTTAAAGAGTACTAAAATTGTTGATGAGGACTATAAATGCTTTAGGAATTCAGAGAAAGGGGGAGAAATCTGTGTTAGGGCCATCCTGATAGGCGTTGTATATATTGAATACATTTTTTTTTTTTTACACAGAGTCTCACTCTGTTGCCCGGGCTAGAGTGCCGTGGCGTCAGCCTAGCTCACAGCAACCTCAAACTCCTGGGCTCAAGCAATCCTCCTGCCTCAACCTCCCAAGTAGCTGGGACTACAGGCATGCGCCATCATGCTCCGCTAATTTTTTCCATATATTTTTAGTTGGCCAATTAATTTCTTTCTATTTATAGTAGAGACCGGTCTTACTCTTGCTGAGGCTGGTTTTGAACTCCTGAACTTGAGCGATCCTCCCACCTTGGCCTCCCAGAGTGCTAGGATTGGGGGGCCTCCGTGCCCGGCCAATTGAATACCTTTCAAAGTGGCGGGTACCTAACAAAAAACACTTCTTAGTTCAAGAGTTATCCTTTGAGAAGTCTGACTTCCTTCTGCCTGACGGTGAGGTAGAAGCAATGAAGGCCGGGCAAGGTGGCCCACGCCTGTAATCCTAGCACCTGGAGGCTGAGGCAGGTGGATTGCTCAAGGTCAGGAGTTCAAAATCAGCCTAAGCAACAATCCCGTCTCTACCAAAAATAGAAAGAAATTAATGACCAACTAAAAATATATATACAAAAAATTAGCCAGGCATGGAGGCACATGCCTGTAGTCCCAGCTACTTGGGAGGCTGAGGCAGGAGGATCGCCTGAGCCCAGGAGATTGAGGTTGCTGTGAGCTAGGCTGATGCCACGGCACTCACTCTAGCCTGGGCAACAAAGTGAGACTCCGTCTCAAAAAAAAAAGCAGCAGCAGCAGCAATGTGAAATGCAGAGGTAGGAAGCAGGAGCAAACTGTTCCTACTTGATCTTAGAAACTAACTGATCCCCGGGAACGCATACACACTGAGGCCGCTAGCTCCTCCCGGGGGCAGGAAGAGCGGCGTGCCCTCCCCAAGGCAAGGCGGGCACGCTTCCACGATGCCAGGCAACACAGGTGGCACTCGGAGGGCTGAGAGCACCACCTCGCCCCTCCCCTCCCCAGAAAGCTCCAGCGGGAGCTTTTCCCGGTGATCAAGCCCATAAGAGAACAGCCAGCACTGGGGGCAGCTGCTTCCAGGGGTTGCTTCTGAGCTGAGTGACAGAAGGCAGCACGCAGGGTCCCCAGGCAGCTGGACTTGTCACCTGCCAGGTCTGGACCCGGTTGGGAAGACATTACCACATTGTATCATCTAATATGCTGGATTACAGGCAGCATGGTCAACAACAACAACAACAACAAAGTGTGAAGTTTAGAAACAAAAGACTTGGACGTCAGCCTCCTGGCTGTGTGATCTTAGGCGATAAAAACGATTATTATAACCACCAACCCTTAGTTTGATGAAAACGCTTCGTGGGGAGTTTGACTTTCATTAGCTCATTTAATCTTCATCACCACCATCTTGTGCCAGATGAAACGCAAGGGTAAATAACCCTTCCTAACGCCATCCGAACTGAAGCAGTATTAATAGAGAAGCTCAACTCAGCTCTGCCGAACACAACCCCACGCCAGCCGGCGACGTGTTCGAAAGCGGCGGCAGATCTGAGAGTATTGCCACCCATGAGTGACACGGGGGATGGGAGGGGAAGGCGGGATACAAATGGGCCAGTTAAAATTACAAAATAGCCAGAATAATGGGTAAGCCTTGAGGTAAACGACACAGGACCCCACGTAACAGCAACTCGCTTTATGAAATTGGAGGTGGTGTTTTAAGAAATATGAAGGGACATTAAATATGTCATTATCTCCCTGTTCTCAGAGAATCTGAGACCCATGTCACAAACTGAGCTTCCAGGTTCACCTAAAAATGTTATGAGATATGCTTTTCACTCAAAAGTTATGAAATCAAACCTTTCAATATTCTCTGTCTAAATTTCTCTCTCAGCCTCCTGGTTATGATTCAGATGAGAGAAGAGTTGTAAATGACTTCGTTTCTACCCGGTGTTTTTCTGCAAAGGGCTTATAGACATGTACAGGTTCTCAAATATTCGTGTAAGCATATACATGCCCACGAACATGTCCATTTTAGATGCTTAATAAATGTTTACTAGTTCCTCGAAGTTGTGTGTACAGAACACACCAGCCCTAGGCTAAGTTCCACTCCAACCTCAGAGTCAATCTGGACTGAGACATGAAGTTCACTGCCCTATTCTCATTATTTTTTCCACGTTGGCTAAGAATTGACACTCTCCTGCTCTTCCCTGTTGCCCCAAATGGTCCTTAAATTGATGTCCACTCATCACCCACTTCCAGATGATCATATTGAAAAATAGAGAAAACAAATTGTAATAGCAGTAGTAGTAATCATAGTATAGTATAATAATAGTGGTAGTCACAGTGATAACATCGATTCTAGCTAAATGTTAAAAAGGTTGCATATGTGCTGACCTTTTTAAACATAACATCTAAATCCTTTTGATATATAATACCTAAGCCTTACGTGGTAAGCACTATTTTATTTTTATTTTTTTTTTTTTAAGCCTCTAAACATTTGGCAATAAGCACTATTTTAAAGCCTATTTTATACAAGGAAACTAAGGCTCAAAGACAGCGAATAATCTTCCGTAAATTAGATCACTGCCCATATGTGAATTTGTTTCTGGCCTCTGTTCCTTTGGTCTGCTTATCTGTTTTTACAGCAATAACCCTACACTGTCTTAATTACTGTAGCTGTTTAAGGGTTGATATCTAGTACTTTTAAGTTTTCAGCTTTGGCTTTGTGGGGTTTTTGTTTGTTTCAGGGTGGCTAATCTTGTCTCTTAGCATTTCTACATACATTTACGCACACACACACACACACACTAACACACTTTGAGATTACTTTTGGCATGGCACTGGAGCTACAGATAAAGTTTGGGCTAAGTGATGTCTTTACAATATTTAATCTATTGATTTATGAACATGAGATATCTCTTCATGTATTTAGATCATCTTTAATTTCTCTCGACATTTTGTAGTTTTCTGTATAGATGTCTTGTACATATTTTGATATATTTATTCCTACATATTTAGTATTTCTGCATTTACACCTAATTTTTGTATGTTGATCTTATAACCAGAGACTTTGCTAAGTTTATTCATTAATTATAGTAATATGACTACTGATTATTTTGGGTTCTATACATATACAATTAGGTTGTTGCCAACAAAAGATCATTTTATTTCTTCCTTTTCAATCCTACATCTTTCTGTTTTCTTTTCCTTTTTTCTCCCTCTCCCACCCCTGTTATACTGAATTAGCTAGAATCTTCATGCAAAGCTGAATGGAAATGGTGACAGTGACTTTATAATGCTCCCAAACTCAGGGAAAAAGTATTCAATACTTCACCATTAAGTATGATGTTAGCTATAAAATTTTTACTTTTTTTTTAACTTAACCACTATAAAGTTAATAGAATTTTTATAGATATGCTTATGTTACTGCTTCTTTGAAAAGACACATGATCTATCTTTTATTTATAGATGACTAAAAAAATTCTCTCTTTATCTTTGGTTTTCAGCAGTTTTACTCTGGTGTGGTTAGGTGTGAGCTTCTTTTAATTTATTCAGCTTGGGTTACAGTGTTTAACCTTTGGCCTGATGTTTTTTTTTATCAGTTTTGGAAAATATTCAGTCTTTATCTGTTAAACATTGCTTCTGCCCCATTTTCCCTCTAATCTTTCTGTGATCCTCCCATATTAGACCCTTTCACCATGAGTCATATGTCTTTTATTCTCGTTTTTGTTATCTGCCATTCTTTTTACTCAGTACGATTCAGTCTGGATATTTCTATGGACCTACCTTCTTGCTCGCTAATTCTCTCTTTAGCTATGTCCAATCTACTATTAAAACCATATATTGAGTTCTTAATTTCAGAAGGATTTTTTAGACTCAAATTTCCATTTAATTCTTTGTAATAGATTCCAGTTCTCTGATGAAATTCTCTATCTTGTCAACTATTTTCTTGACCATATTAATCACAATTATTTAAAAGGCTCTGAAACTCCAATATCTTAGTCACCTTTGGGTCTATTTCTATTATCTTGGTTTCCTTGGACTCTGTTTCTTAGATGCCTGGTAATTTTTTTTATTGAATTCCATCCATGATGCACAAAAACTTTCAGAAGCTCAGTGCTCTCCTTCCAGAGAAGATTCACCTGATCCTCTTGAAGGCAGCAAAGAGCAATGGAGCAGATCACCTCAATCCAGTCATAAGCTGAGTGGATTCATGGCTGGTTAGTAATCTTTGTAAGGCTCAGACGGCCTCTGTTTTGTCCTTGTTTCCAGGGTATGGTCCGCAGAGAGTTTCAACTGAGAGCCTGGGTTATTTTCTAAGGTCCTTCTCCTTGGCAGACCCCGAACCCCAATGTGTGTTTTTCTAGAACATATACTGCCAAAAACTCTGTCCTGCTTTTCATTTTCAGTCTCTTTCCCTGTACAGC